CCCCCCCCCCCCCCCCCCCGCTCCTGCTCTCCAAGGTTGGGCGGGCCCCGGATGTTCGGACAGCCCCCTTCCCACCGGGGGACGCCCCCCTCCCCCAAAGGACTGGGAATCCTCCCCCACCCCCCTTTGAAGTCTGATGCCCTTCCCCCACCAGCACGCGGGCTCCTCGGAGATCGCGAGGCCCGTGTTCAGCTTCTCAGAGGGAGGTCTCCAGCGTGCAAGCCGTGGCTGTTCCGGGCCTGTTGTCCTTCGGTGCAGGAATCGCTTTTGGGGGGCTGAGACCCTTCAGGAGGTGACGGCTGGCTTCGTCGTGCTTCGTTCACTCTCTGGTTGTAGTGGCTTGGCCATTTTTATTTCTTTTTTGACATGTAGGGTCCAGGCTCTCATTTTTGTCTTGGCATATTGTTTTAATGTCTTGCTGTATCACAGAGTCATCGATTTCTCTTTGGTCTGCCCTATCTTGCTTGGGTTAGGGTCACCACCTTCTCTTCTGAGGTTTGCATTCTGTCATTTCTTAAATCTCATTTCTTCCAGGTGTTCACGTAGGCCTGTCCTTGATGCTTGCTGTCCGTGTAACATTAACTCTCCCCTTCTTTGTGGGGAATCTCTAGATGGGCAGTGATTTTGGAGCCGGGCTGCTGTCCTCTTTGGTTCACTCCTCTTTCCATCTTTCGTTGCTGAATTGCGACTTTGTTCCGGGCCGGGCTCCACCACTTGCCTTGCCTTCGGATGAGCTTTCAGCTCTCCCTGGTCTCACACTGGGTCACCTGCCTTCCTGCATTTGCCTCCTGGCAGGATCAGACCCTTCTGGATCTTTAAAATTCACATTATTGGATTTTCAGGGCCTCCTATGACGTCTGAGGAACCTCCGAGACCCAGGGTGTCCCAGTCTAAGGCTTCCCACCCACCCCATGTTTATAACCACTGTGGGCTTTCCTTGGGGCTACGCTCTGCTCTTCCTGCCTCCGGAACCAGAGCCTTCCAGGTGACGCGTGTCTCCGGCCTTCTTCTGGTCCCACTGGGAGACTACAGGCTTCTTCTCCTGCATGTCACTAGCTTGCTGCTGTCCCCCTTTCTCATTCCTCTTGAGCTTATGGCTGACCTCATGGGCAGTTCTCAGGTGGAAGAAGTCACTTGCTGTTGTTTCTCATTGGATTTCCTGAGTCCTCTTCAGTTTGGTCTGAGTTTGAAAGTTGGGCCAGAGAAGGTGTAAGGAAGTGGGGTCATCTGCCTTTGTTCAGGTACCCTTCTTGCCCAGAAGCCCTCTCCATCTCTTCCCTCCCCTCCCCACACAGTTGAGTGACTGCAGAGAAGTTGCCCCCTTGTCTTTCCAGTGCAGCTGTCCAGTCCTTCCCATTTTTGGGGTCCAACATCTCTCATTTGTTTCCTTATTCCCATCCCCATGGGAGTCAGCCCTCTAGTTCAGGTCCTAACTGCCTCACCTACACTCTTGGAGTAGGCTCCTAATTAATCTTCTGGCTCTGCTCTGTCCAACCTGTTTTCTGTTTAGCTAACAGAATAAACTCTCAATGGCTCCTTGGGTTATCTTCAGCATCCGAGGTAAGATTAGCACCTCTCATGGTTTGCTTTTCCTTCCCTCTTCTTCCTTCCAGTTCTCTGTTCTTCTTCAAGAGGCATGGCCTTTGGAAAAGAGGAAATGGCCCCTGTGCTGACAGCAAGGGTCCAACAGGTAAGTGAGAGGTTCCTGTTTCTTATGGTGAGGGAAGACAGCCCCCTTTCAGACTGTGGTGCCTTTCATGATTGAAAGGGGCAAGGATTAAAGCAAACCTGAGATTGGCCTATGAAGAATACTATGTGCACAAACAAAGCCAATGCATCCAAAATTAGAATGAATACAAGAAACTGAGGGGGAAATTTTTTTTACAGAAAATTTTTTCGATAAAGGTCTGATTTCTCAAATATATAGGGAACTAAGCCAAATTTGTTAAAGTAAGAGCCATTCCCCAGTTGATAAATGATCAAAAGATACAAACAGGCAGTTTTCAGAAGAGATCACAGCTATCAATAGCTATATGAAAAAATGCTCTAAATGATATTGATTAGGAAAAAACAACAACTCTGAAGTATCACCTCACACTTTTGAGAAATGACAGATGCTGCGGGGGATAGCTGTTGGTGGAGTTGTGAACTGGTCCAACCAATTTGGCAAACAATTTGGAACTATGCCTCACTGCTAGGTCTGTGTCCCAAAGAAATCAAAAGAGAGAGAAAAGAACTTACTTGTACAAAAATATTTGTAACAGCTCTTTTTGTGGTTGCAAAGAATTGGAAATTGAGGGGATGCCCATCATTTGGATCATGGCAGAATAAGTTGTAGTTTTTGATTGTGATGGCATACTGTTGTGCTATATAAGAAATGACAAGCAGGATGGTTTCAGAAAAACCTGGGAAGACTTGTACAATCTGATGCAGAGTGAAGTGAGCAGAACCAGTGCAGTGTACTGCAGTACACAGTAACAGCAACATTGTAACAATGATTAATTGTGAAAGACCTGACTCTTCTGAGGGATCCAGTGATTCCAAGGAGTCAGTTTGAAAATGCTCCCTGCCTCCAGGAAGAGAAAGAAGTGATGGAATCTGAAGGCAGGTGGAAGCAGGCTCTTTCTCTGGAGATACAACTAATACAGAAATCCATTTTGCATGATTTCACATGTGTGATGGGTATCCTATTGCTTGCCTTTCTTTATTATCTGAAATAGAGTTTGAGGCTCAAAATTCTGAGTGTAATGACTTATTTATTTGCAAGGCAAAAGTTGCCAACAAGTCCAGAGCTTATTTTTATAGTAGAAAAAGAGAATCACAAGTTACAGGTGTCTTGAGAAATTTGCTTTGAACATAATTCAATTGGACGAGGTAAGTCACTTGACCTGTGACTGGGCCGAGCACTTCCAGGAGCAGTCTGGGTGTAACTTGTTCTTATTGCCAACATTTGGGGCATGGACATAACAGGGCTTCTTGGGCGGGGTGGGAGGGGGCGGGACACTCTCTAGATTCATTATTCTATTGGGCAGGAGTCTCCCATCCATCATCCTGTTCCTCGGGGGTGATTGCTCTAGCTGGAAAGTTATGGCTGAGGTACGGGTGGTCTGGAGTGTGGGAAAGTGAGGATGGGTCTGTGCCAACCTCAGCTCTGCAAAAGCAGGAGTTTACCCTGGCTGACAAAAAGAGGGACGCAGTTTCTGACAGAAACTCTCTTTATAACTAGCTTAATAATACTGTGATTGCATATCTCTTCATCTAAAAACTGTCTGAATTAGACCTTACAAACCAAAATAAATCAGCAGGATAATCAATATTAACTTGATTAGGAATTATTTCTTTCACCTTCTCCGTGGGTGGAGGAGGGAGAGAATTTGGAACTCAAAATAAATTTTTTTTTAAAAAGAATACTTATAAAGGTAGCCGTAGAAGTGAATAACTCATCCAGGGCAAACTAGGCTTCCTAATTCTATGTTCCAGGTGCTCATTTGCATGTGTCGAATTGGAGAACTTTGGAGTTAATTGGGGAGCCCTGAAACAGAGAAGTGTTTTATGATGTTTGGGCCAATGTGCATTACCTGTTTAGGGCTTAATGTTGGAGTTGAGGATTCAGTTACTTACCCTAAGTTAGAGGGAAGTTTTTCGCTTTGAGGTCCTGTTCTTAAATCAGGAAGCAGGGGAGCACCTCCAGAGAAAAGGAGAGGAGCTTAGTCTCTCTGTGGAGTGTGTCCTGTTGCTTGGAGACTCAAGTCTGCCTGGAAGCAAAAGGAAAAGCAGAGAGGATCTGGTTCTCTGAGGTGCCTGAACAACTTGGGAGAGATTTCTGCCAGTCTCAGGACATTGATACGTCAGCCTGCTTATGCACCCACTGGGCTAAGTCCAATCTGGGAGTGCCAGAGCCCCAACCCCGCAGATTGACCAGTCCAGCTCAGATACCCAGGACCAGGGAAGGAATGGTCCCTGGGGCTCCCATCACATTTGGATTGAGGGAGCCCCCTTTTCAGAAGGATATTGACAAGTAGTTGTTTGTCAGTTCCAAAAGATATAATTGCCTTGATAGAGCTAAGCCCTGCGTGAAGTGCTCTCCTCCCAAAAGGAGGGCCTCCTGCCTATGCTTGGGCTATGTACATTCTTTGATCTGTCTGGCCTCAAAGAAAATCCTGTTCTTCTGTGACTGTTAATGCCAGGTGAGCCATAGGAAAGGACCTGTTTTGGCTACTCAGGAGAATTTCCTGCATGAGGGATTTTCTGGTGCTGGTGGGCTCCTGCGGAGGCCCCTGGTGGCCCCTGGTGATGTGCTGAGCCTCAGGTGACTCCAGAAATGGGCTCTATAGCTAGAGGGGAGAAGACAGTAGAGTCTTGGAAGTGGGGCTGGGGAACAGCCCCTGAGCAAGTCCCTCAGCAAGATTCTCAGAGACTGGCCTTGACTGTCGGTCCTAGAATTGAGGGGAAGGGAATGAGCTGGAGGGGAGTTGGAAGGTTATACGTGTTTGTCATGAGATTAAGCAAAGATCCCTCTATTTCTATATGCTTTGTTGTTGTTGTTGTTGTTGTTGTTTTTTCATTTTTAGGCAATTGGGGTTAAGTGACTTGCCCAGGGTCACACAGCTAGTAAGTGTCAAGTGTTTGTTCTGAGGCCAGATTTGAACTCGGGTCCTCCTGACTTCAGGGCCGGTGCTCTATCCACTGTGCCACCTAGCTGCCCCCTTCTATATGCTTTTTTAAAATAATTTATTTTTTCCCAATTAATGTAAAAACAATTAATCTTTTTATTTAAGATAAATTTACTTATTATAGCTTAGTCATTGATAAATGCAAACATAACAAAATACAAAGAACAATCAGAAAAAGGATTTACATGAAACTGAATTTTTGGGGGGAAATTTGTATTGAATTTCACACTGTATCGGGTTTACTTCTTTTTGCTTTCAAAGACACATCTTTTCACAAACTATGTGGTCACATACCTTGTTCTGAGTTGTGGGTTACCCAGGGCAGCAGTAGAAAGACTCCTAGTTCAGTGGTGACCCACATAGCTTAAGGGGTGTCGGGAAAGACCCGTAGGACCCCCAAAGATTGTGGGCAGAATGAGGGATGGGGGATGGACAGCCTGAGAGCCTGACGTGGAAGAAGAGTTGGAGGAGCCTCCTTCCCATGCCTTGGTTGGATGCTCTGGATGGGGGTGGACGGGAGAAGGCCGGCAGGGGAAGGTGCTGAGGGAGGGGATCAGTCCCCAAACCAGTGAGGTCCCAGGCCCAGCAAAGGGCGGAGCAGCAGGCAGGTGTCCAGTGGTGGAGACCAGGGAGGGAAAGGGCCTGGGGCTCATGTCATGGGGGAGCTTTGAAGGAGTGTGCTTTTCCTGGAGACGCCGGACTTGGGGAGGCCACATTAACTTAATATGTAGGGTCTGACGGATTCTCTGTGGGCTTGGTGTCAGGAACAGCTCCCCAGCATTGGAGCATCCAGAAGAGCTGCGGGCTCTATTAGGTAGTGAGTTCCCCAGCCCTGGTGGGTTTCCCCTGGAGCCCAGCCGACCCCTTGTTAGAGAAGCTGTAGAGTTTGCAGCCCTAGGACCTAGATCTCCCCCTGGAAGGGACCTCCAAGGCCATCTAGTCCATCTCCCTCATTTTACAGGTGAGGAAATGGGGCCAGAGAGGTCAGGAGTTACTCAAGGTCACACTAGTTGGAAGTATCAAATGCCAGACTTGAACTCGGGCCCTGTTCCTTTGATTGAACCCTCTTGCCACTGCACGGAGCTCCCTCCCATTGTCTCTGGTGCCTTCTTCCAAGCTCTGAGGTTCTGGATTCTTGGTAGAACAAGCTCTGGGCTTCTTCCTGCCTCCAGGTCCTTCCCATTCCAAGCAGAGACGAGGAAACCAAGAATAAATGAAGGCTGAATATTTGTATCTTGTGTTTGCCTGTGTTGTGTCAGCTGGGGTAGGTGAGAGGTCTGGGGAGCCTCCGGAAAAGGGAGACAAGTGTCCCCTTTAGGGTGCTGGGGCTGGGCCTGTGAGTGTGACATTCCCGGACCACAGAGCAGGGGTCCTCGAAGGACTTCAAAGGGCTTAGGGACAGCCAAGCTGTCCAGCTCTGTCTTGGCTCTTGCAGCTACTAGCTGTGTGGTCGCCGACCACATCTGAGCCTTTCTCCTACTTCAGTCCAGCAGTGTCTGCCCTGCCTGGTTGTTAGGCAGACAATAAAGGATAAAGACAGCTGAGTGGTTTTCAGTGGAAGAGCGCTGGCCCTGGATTCAGGAAGACCTGAGTTCTAATGTGGCCCAAACACTTGACACTTAGTAGCTGTGTGACCCTGGACAAGCTTCACCCCATTGCCTCGAAAAAAAATGAAAATGAAAAAAAAATAATAGCACCAAGCTTCCAGGGTTGTGGTAAGGATCAAGTTAGACACCATAGGTAAAGCCTGAAGCTTGCAAATGAGTGGTAGCTGTTGTTGTTATTATTGTATGAAAGAGCTTTGGGTATCACAGGAATGTTAATATGGCTCATGATTAGGAACAATGGCTTAATTTCTGAGACTTTTTCCAACATCTGACCAAACTGTGTTTAGAAGTTCCCACTTTAGGGTAAAAGGAGATTTGCCCTGTGGGAGTTGCTGCAGAAAACCCATTTTAATGAGCCTGTTTGCACTAATTATTCAGTTAAGAAGAATGGAAAGGCATCACCTTGATTACTTAGTAGAAATATTTGGAATTAGCTGGAGAGTCATTGCCACATTGCTTCTACACTGAGTACCCCAGTGGATCTATTTATCATTGATATGAGGGGGCAGAAAGGAGCATTCCCTTCACTGATAGATTGCAGCCCATCCCTGCTCGCCTCTCCCATAAGTTTTCCCCACAAGGTCCACCCCTTGTTCTGGAAGCCTTCCGTGAGCCTGTCAGGGGTGTGCCCAGATAGGCATAACTTCTTCCCTCTCACCATGTGACTAGCCGTCAGTTTCTAGCACACATTTGTCTGAAGACACCCTCCACCTCTGTTTATGCCCATCCCATGCCCTTCCGTCTCACCTTCAGCCCTGGATGTCACTCGGCCCTCCCCCCACCACAAGAATACCACTATTTAAGAAGATGGGCCAGTGTTGAATTGAGAGCTTGGGTCTGACTGCAGGACAGCGATGTAGATGGGCCAGACCTGTGGCTTGTTTGACCTGTGTGGACGGGGAGGCTTTTCCATGACCTGAGCCTCAGTGCCATCTGCAAACCAGTGTCAGGGACCTCGCCCTGCAGGGAATCCCTCCTAGGAGGGTGACAGCTGATAATGAGTAACGTTGTGCGTCATTGTGAGGTGGGATTTGGTGAAAGCCAGCATAGGGAGTGTCAGAATGAAGGGCAGAACTTGACCTTTGGCACAAAAGGCAAAATGGAGCAGTGGAAAGAGCAAAGAACTGGATGTAAGCCTTCGCTCAGGTGCTACTTGCTTGACAGTGAGTCTTTCCTAAACTCAGTTTTCCTGTCTGTATAATGGTGATATTAAATACCTGTAAGGCAAGGTCAGGGTTAGCAAAATGTGATGTGTGATATGGGGATCACAGGACTCCAGGGATTAAAAAAGGCCTTAAGCATTGTCTAGTTTAAC